TATAAAACAGTGACGCTGTCACTAATGTATATATTAATTATTAACATTCTAAAAATTTCATTCATATACACAATTGTATTATGAAACTAATTCTTGTTAAAATAATAATTCATTTATTTGAATAACATAAAATCCATACGAGCATACGTATTAAAAAAAAAAATCTTGACACTTAGTTAAAATATTATACAAACAAGTGTTATTTATTTATTTTTTGTATTGTATATGTACATCGTAGAGTTGTTATTGCATGAGCATTTGTTAAATCTAAATTTATATTCATAACCAGAGCCAGGAAATTATTGTAAATCAAAACATTTTTTGTTTGTTTATTAAATATTATATTGATTAGAAAAGTCTGAAAAAAATACAATACCTTTTTAATTGTTTTTAGAATATTTAAAAATAATCTTTTATATAATTACAACACACCTACCCTAAAATTCTTTAGCAAAATATTGACCTTACAAGCGCATAAACATAAATTGCGTCCTTTTTAATTAATTTTTTTACATATACATACATGCATTATTATAGTTAGTTCATATTGGCAATATGGTAAATAAATTAATTGTATTGAATATTATTATTGGTTTATATTTTAATGAAAATGTACTAATTTATGGTTGACATTTTCAGCTGGATACAGTTATACGTTTAGTTTAATTGTAGGTATTATATCGACGTCAATATGTGAGTTTCACTAATTAGTCGGGACGTTACAATCAATTATTTATACCTACCTCCAGACCAAAACATGTTTCAGTTACAAATCGCACGTATTACGAGACAAGTATTAGGTGTACATAGGTTCAGAGACGACTGTGATAGAATATGGAAGTAGAAAATGTATCTAACGAATGTTTTTTGCCACAACGTTATGGTCAATTATTGATTTGTATAGGTTATTTAATGCAATAGAATCCTGTGGAGAATCGAACATTTCTGCCATCTAATTTTCTCTATCTCCCAACTGTAGATATTCTTTTTCTTTCTTATATTTTTTACTCGCATTCTGTCGGTGAACATTTTATGAAAACCTTTTTTTTGTTGTTGTCCAAAGTGTATTTTGTTATAATATCATATATATTATTGGAGTATTATAATATCTGTATTCCTTTGACAGAAATCTATGTTATGAAGTGCTTTTTTAACAAAATCGGCAAAATCAACCCAAGATTCTCGGGTACTTTACCTTTATAATTGAAGTGTGTTCACTGTCAGTATAATGGCCATGAATGTATTTCCTTTTGAGTTAACGAACATGGGTCGAAATCAGTCTAATACTTCACCTATAAGGCTATGCCCGAGTATTTAATAAAGTACTTGATAATTGGGTAGTTTAACATATAATACTGGTTTAAATCATAACATTTGCAAATTGTAACTATATTTATAAGTGTAACACAATATGTTATTGCTTTGCATAGTTTATTTAAACAAAGCCTGCTGAAAATACAAATTTGATTTATTGAGTTTCTTTTATTTATAAAATGAGAATAAAAAGTGAAAGTATAATGAATAAACCAATCTTAATAATGGAAACCAATTATAAGAGCTGAACTTAGTTTTTGGTTTATAATGGCTGTTTTGATGTGGCTTAGATGTGCAGTAATTAAGCAAATATAATATACAAGAGGGAATATTTATTACTAAATATTTTATTTTATATCAATAAAAACTATGTTATGGTTTATAAATAAAAACAAAATATATATAATTCGTATTAGCTAGTATTTAATCGATGATCAGCATTGATTTGATATTAAAAAAAAAGAATGGAAATATTTTTTTGAGTCACATTATTTAAATTTAATGTTTAAAGTTTTGGTAATATCTAGAAAAATTCTTTGAAATTGAATGGTCCCTAGACCCTCTTCGGTGTACCTATATGGATATTGTTTATAGTGATAAATGCAATAAAAAGTTTCTTTACGGATATTAATGATTTTATGTTAAATCAAAATTAAAAATTTAATTATAATCATTAAAAACTAGTATTGTTAAAAACAATTGTATGCAATTTATATAAAACTTTATGCGCTACGCAAAATAAAAAATATTCATAACATTTATTTGAATATTATTTTATGAGAATATGAATACTATACCATCATACAAAACATGATATACAATAATGTTGGATAAAATAATATCCATGAAATAATAACAAATATTTGGTTGAAATATATTTCACAAAAAAAATGTTTAGGTTAAATGTCAAAAACTACCAGTTATTTACTTATGTACTTTTTTTTTATTTGAAAACTTATTGTTCCCACTTTCAAAATGTATTTGTTTTTAAGTCAAAGTTTTGCTCTAAAAATTTTACAATTTCAAATAGTGTGTATACTGTATGGTACACTAATATACATATGCAATAACTATCAAAACTTTTGGGGAATGTTGTTTTTTTTTAAAATTATTACTATAACGCATAATATAATTGAGAAAACTTAAGGTTCAAGTTGTACTTTTCACATTCAACAGTCAAGGTATAAAGTAACAACAGAACTCATTAGCAAAATAATCGTGAATAGCATTTAAAACTGGCAAGACGTATCGTTATTCCATTGTGCAGTGGGACATAAATTTCGCAAAAATAAATCTCTCAGTAGTGCACAAAATCGAATTACTTAGGGAATTGTTTCCGGCATCAGCCCCGAATACATGTATGTATATATATAAAGATTTCATATTCGCCATCTCCGGATTGATTGTATTTTTATTTACTTTAAATTACGTCGACCGGAATTCATGGGAAATGAAAGTCGGCGGGGACAGAAACATGGTGAAACCACGTTCGCGGCGAATCGTCGTCGTCAACGCCTTCGGGTGGTAACAGAAAAAAAATAAAAATAAAAAAAAATCCTAAAACGTTGACATTTCAAGGAGGAAAGTTATAAATTTACAAAACCACTGCCGCGCAGGCACAGTGTACGCCGCTCGAATGCATTTCACGACGATATTTTTATCATTCCGACACAAATGATCCGAAAGTAACGTACCACCGCTTTGACGGGCGCCGCAGTCGTGTCCCATAACGAGCGCGTTCGTACACCCCCCCGCCGGGGCTCCTCGAGATCACCACCGATCTATGACTTGCACGCCATAGCTGTATATAGGTAAAGGACCTACACCGTAGCAGCTACCATTTTGTCATACCGCAGAGCCGATAAATCTCGCGCCACGGGGCATTGCGGGGATAAATGTATTTATTTTATTTTTGTACTCACCTTTTATTCCTTATACCTGCCTACACCACGGCCCTTTGCACGATCGGCACTGCAGTGTATTATTCATAATGTTTAGTTGTTCAAACATACTACTACTGGATACACGTTTTCTAAGTGGTTCGAATATTTAACTCACGCGTAGGGTGTGGGTAGGTATATAGGTACGCACAACGCAGAGAAAACACGAAATTATGTAGGTACGCAAGGTAAATTTTTTTTCACCCTTGTAGAGACGTACTGCAATTTTATCGGTAAGCGTATATTTAATATACTATTGTGTTCTCGAGAATACATTTTATTTAATCATTCAAAGTCGTACACGGCATAATGGGAAAAACATTTTTTTTTTCACAATATTATTAATTATCGTTATCATGTTTAAGTTGTGCACATACTTTTTACCATTACCAACTTTGTGTACCGTTCTACAATAATTTATGACGGACATTTATCAATGAACATCATTGAACAATAACTCAATAATAAAAAATTGTATGGAAATATTATCACACCGTAGTTCATAATACTATAGACATTTCAAGACATTTATAAAAACTACATCCAACTCGGTCAATGTGTGTACGTCATGTGCACCACGTTATCAGGATCGCTGTAGCTCGCGCCATCGAAAATTGCATACTATTTTATAGATAAGGTGAAACGAATGAGGACATGATGTTTTTCATCGGTGGCATGTTTGTTTGGATTACGTAACAAAGAATGTTTGAATAATCATACATTCAACTTCAAACCGAGACTTAAAAACTAATATTTAGAACAAGTAGACAGTAAAATATGCAACCAATTAAATTATTTGTTAGACCAATCGACCGTGTTGCCGAAGGTATATAATAATACAAAATCGATAATAATTACAAAACTGATATTGATAAAATATTATACGGCCGCATTAGTATGCACAATGCACATTGCAGTGTTATCGACAGTGACATTGTAAAAAAACAAAAATCAAAATAATATTTTGTTCGGAGCACAAGTCTCCGGTATGCGCAGGACCACCACCGTGATTGTATATTATGCTGAATGTTTGGTACGTTGGCACCAGTGAAAAGTCATCTCTGCATCCCTTAGGCGATTTAACGAGCACAGAACATACGACGTAATAACAATAATACCTAGTAATTATGTTACAGTAATCGCTTTCCAAAACACTTTCTTCTCTATAATATGTCGTTACACCTCCTCGTCGGGATACGCCAATAGCATGTTATTGTACCCGACTTAACGAATACGACTCGATTCCCACTGTAATTTTCCGACGGGAATTTCCCCGTGATCAGTAGAGTTCAGTGTGTGTTCGGCCCAAATCAATACTTTAATATCACTTTGATATTTAGTGGAATAAAACACTCTGCAGTATGAATTGCTTGCAGTGTAAAGAATAAAATCGTCGTTGAAATAATTGATGCGTAGTGAATTTCAATGCACTTAAGTGGTGCAATGACTAAGTCATAATACCATACTTTATGACTTGTTAATGATTTCAAAACAAATTGTCAGCCATATAATATTTTAAGTGACACGAATACCGTGAAAACATTCAAGGATCAAAATATAAATTATTATATTATGTAGATATTTGAAAATGCTGTTAAGTAAACAACGTTGCTTTATAATAATTATTCGTGTGATTATAATATTTAATATAGTTGTGGTATATAATTTTGCACAAAAACAGTATAAACATTATTATAATATTATCGTGTAACATATTTCTGATTTGGTGATTTGATTTATTTTCAGCAAGGTCAGCTACGTTAATGTAACCGTACCCTCATATTAAACGTCAAGTTATCCATCAATTTTCACAAAAAAAAAATTAAATTGCTTACACCCACATAAACGCTCAGCAGGTAAAATATGGGTTTGTTGTACCGTTTAGTGTCTAAAACATGGAAGTAGATCGAAAAATGTAGTCTAATGTTTTATATATTTTTTTAACTTGTTTCCATTATCACCTGATGGATATAGTATAATGATAATAATATAAAAATCATATATTTATTTTATGCTTAGGTGTAAAGTATAATATTTTATAATGCATGCAATACTTTCATTTTATTACAATTATTCTATTACAATAACATGTTATATTTTGCAACAAAAATCTTCCTATATGGTTGTTTTTTTTGCTGTCGCTGAAAATATATTTTACCGCTTAAACTATTTTCAGCTCTTTCGAGAATCGATTTTCAGACGTTGGACGATTACCCTGTAAAAGGAAATATTATATTATATTATGAACATAGTTATTTTTTTCCTTCACCAGTATCTAATCGTTGTCATCCTGGACAGGGTGATAATAATATGATATTGTGTACGCATGCTGTATGCACCTATACATATATGTCATATTTACCTGTAGGTATAGATATATTACGTCGATATATTTCGCTATAACCACGAAGTACATATGTTTACAGATGAACGAACACTTTTCGTTAGCAACAATGACTTATTGATACATTTTTCCTCCCTTTGGATATTTTTTTAAAAGTCATTCAAAGCTGAACCCATGCGTTATTGAAACCACATGTCTAAAAGTGAAACGAATGATTATATTAACTTTTTTTTTTATTAAAATTGTTGAATAGCTTTCCCGCTAAATATTCAATGGAAACTATGCTTACGAAGAAATAAGGTGAAAATAATAGTTCAACCATCACATTATTGCTTAAAGGCTTTACAGTTGGAAATTCAAAATTGAAATTTATGAAATCGCTATGATTAATATTTATATTTTTCCAACAGTTTGGGTTATTATAAAACTCCAAAATTACATATTATGTTCTTGTGAAACCCAGAATATAGGCGGGAAATAAATTATTTGTGAAAAAAAGTCTGTGTTATTGGTAATTTATTGTGTGTATTTTCAACTTAAATAATTTAAATAACTTTAGATACTCATATAAATGTACGTATTTATTATTTGTTTCATTCAAATATTTACTATAGATATTAATAATTAATATTCCTAATACACAACTGTTAATAATAAATATGTTTAGATAAGTTTGGTTATTTTTGAACTTTAATGAGTATGAAATCTAATTGGTCGTATGCAATGTATTTTCCCCACTATACACCCTTCAGTGTAGGGTGGTTATGATATTTTAAAGTTATTTAAGCTATAAATAAACTTAAAATGTGTACAAGCGGATTAATTTTTATTTATGCTTGAATAAACTAAAAACCTACTGAGAAAATTTGAAAAAATATATATCTGTTCAAAATATCACCCAGATTCGATTTAAGATCAATGAGGGTAGTATGGTGCTAAATAAGATATTTTTGAGAAGTACCTAATATAGAAAAAGTGTTTACGGGAAAAAAACTATTTAATGTTCAACAATTTATAAGACTGCTCAAATTCAAAAACTAAAAAATATATTATTATTTAGAACTTGCTTATCATGTTTGAGTTTGAAATAGTTGTCTAAAATTTAAACATACAATTTCAGGATCTTTATAAAATTACCTCATTCAATAACCTAGCCTGCGCTTAAAATAAGCACCATTGTAAAACCATGTTATTATTGTCAACAATTTTAAAAATAATATCGATCACCATAATATGTTAACCAAAGCAATCATAGCTATGGACGGACTGACCCAAAGGGGATTAAGATATCTAAACTTATGCTTATAAACTTACGAAACAAATTCTGAAATTAAAATAGTTTTATTTGAGAAATAACATATTATAATTAATTAGACATAAGAAAGAACATATTATGTGATTACATATTGTAGAATACACTTTTTGTAGCACATATATATTATAAATAATTATTAATTTATAGCTAATATCATTAACTAAATATTGTATCACGAGCTCAACATTATCGAGCAATAATAATGTGGATTATAATATTTTAAAACGTTAATATTATTCTACAATAAAACGTAAGCTGCTGCTTATTAACATAATTTGTATTAGGTACCTACTTAGGTAACTAAAACAATATAACAGAAATACTCGTTAATATAATTATGTTAGACAGTGTTGTATGTAAATATATATTTTTTTATAGACTGTTTTAAAACCACATTAAATAATATTGATTTTTTTAAAGACACTTAGAGTTGGTTAGTATTTTCTGGAATGTATACTCTATATAATAATATTTTATCATAACATTGTTACAAGTTACTGTTTCATTGTTGTTTTATACATTGTTTTAATATTAGGTTCTTTAAAATTCCTTTGTGTCTAGAATATTGTCACAAAAACAATATTATGACGTGTAATGACAGGGAAACGACCATAGTGTTCTTTGAATTAACGTTATAATTATTTTCTACAGACTATAATATAATTTATTCTGTGAGCAAACCAAAGAATGTATTGGTTTTATGATTTTGCATTATTTATTTATTTTTGTGTTTTTTTGTCACATTTTACAGTAAAAAAAACTCCAATCTTCAACTTTTAGGGTGGTATCTAATAGAAAATATATTTTTTCATTTGGCACCTATGAACTAGTCTAATATCTAGTACTTTTTTAAAATAATTTGAAAAATATAATATACTAACGAAAATTCAAGAAATAACTAGAGTATTTACCCAGAATTAGTTGTTCACAAAATCTGTCTAATTAGTAGTTAACTACTTGTAACTTATTGCTTATAAGCATTCAAAGTATGATGAGAGAAGTCCAACATTTTGTTGGGTACTTATGCGACACTCCATTCCACTCATCTAAACTTTAAATACTTACTCTTAAAACTAGGTAATTAATTAATTTAATTATAAAACTAATCGTTTGAAAAATTAATATTAATTATTAAAATGCTGAGGCAAATACCTATAATACTTTGAAAAAAGCAGTCAAACGTATGCATTTAAAAATATAAAACTTTATAATTATAACTTTAAAAATAAAAACAAATTTAATTTAAAAAGTTGAGTAGAAATAAATATTTTTTTATACTTATCAAGAATTTGAGTACACACCGTTAAAAGGATATCATTGAAACTGTTAAATTTTAGAAATTAAATGTTTTGAACATTTAAGATGACATTTCCAGAAATTTCAGAAATGTGTTATCATTTCAAAATGGAACTTAAAGACTTACATTTGTTTCCTACATATTCATATGACCCACACACATTCACTAGGTATACTTGAATATATATATATCTAAAATATTTTCATATACCAACTGTATTATTATAGAACGCGCAGGTCTGTGTGTTTTTTTTTTAATTTTAGAAAAGTATACATTTTTACAGTATATTTGTTAAATTGAAATTTCTTAATTGAAATATTCTACTTACATCACTGTTTACTGTTTAGTATTTACTTAATGTAATTGTTTCGTAGTTTCCTAACCTAATGCAATTTTTATAATGTAGTGTGTACATATTATGTTCTTACTTTCTAGTCACAGAAATCAATTAGATTTATTTAAGGTTAGAATCTAAGTTAAGCTAGACTAACCTAACGATAAAAAGTGCCCAATCAAGGTGTAATTTAATCCATTCAAAAAGTTATGGGTAGTATGATAGGATTGTTTGATAGTATATTGAATATTCAGAAGTTGTAAGAAATAATATTTTGCTTAAATATTTTCTATTATCAGCAGTACCAAAAACTACGATATAAAATTAATTTTGTAATTAAATAAATATTAGTGACAATATATTTTAAATCAATTTAAAATATGAAATTTATGTAGGTTTTTTTTAGTTAAAATTGATAAACAAAAAATATTTAACATTACTAATATGAGTTAATATTTATATAAAAATTAATAGGTATTTAAAGTCATATAATACTTAATCATGAAAATTGAATTAAATGTATTAAATTGTGGACAAAAAATAAAAGAAAAGAAAAGTCTAAATGTATTTGTATATTGTATATTATGTAAGATTATACAAACTATACGTATATTTTTATCTCAGAATTGTATTTTTGATAGTAATATTATTTACCCATACCGAGCTGCAATTATGAGCTGTTCAATAATATAATATATTTGTTATTAGTTTTTAAAATATTCACAATGAACCAAAACCTATTTAACTATAATGATGTTAAAATCTAAAACATCAATATATTTATATTTTATTACTTCTTTCAGAGGAAAAACCAAGTACATTCATATAGTGTTGGAAACTTGTTAAATTCAGTAATAATCCATTAAAGTTGATCAAGATGATTACTTCTAGGCTCTATTTCATTTTTACATTAATCAAAAAAATATTTTTAAGAACTCATGTTAGTTGTATTATTTTGAAATTAATTTAACTATTACATGATGATTTGCCAAGTATAATCACATGACTTTTTCCAAGAATTTATCAAATTTGATACCTAAAATATTTAAAGTAAAAATAGAAGTTCTAATTTGAAAAATGGAAACTCGAATCGCCACCGAACACTCCTTAAGTAGTGTAAATACCTCAAGAATTTGAAAACATGAGCTTTAACTATATTTAAAACTTCCTTAAATCAAAATTTGAATAAAATTCTATATGCTACTGAGCATGCTTGGTTAATCATCCTGTACATTATATATTTGACGCATCATACATGGACATGGCATTGGTAATAGACATGGCTTTAAAACTCTCGCTCTACCTAATGCCCAAACTTTTTATTGACTTTTTTTAAGCTTTACGAGTGAGGAAAAAAATGAAAATATGTTAAATTTGATTACCCATGGGAAGAGTTTCGCACTACCATAAATAAATTGTACTACGAGCTTCTTACCCTGGGGCATCGAATATTTTTTCCCTATTCCGTTTTCAAATAATGATGACGAAATACAGATTCTCAGAATCCTAATGCTCTGTCATGGATGTAAAGTATATACCTACATCGTTCCTCCTTGTTTTTCACTT